TGAAAAATTAAAAAGATATGCTCATATTTTTAAAAATTCTTAAATGAAAAAAACAACAAAAAGAATGAGGGGAGGTTTCAAATAGTCCCACATCAAAAATATTTCTTTAAGAACATGAAATGACTTTTATTTAAAAAGTAAGAAAGACATCAAGATAAATATAAAGTACTAAGCACTTTTTGAAGGCATGTTTAAGCCTAAAAAAATTCAAGTATGGATAAAAAAATAGAAATAAAATAATAGGAAGTGCAAATATTAAAAAATGTGCTTTTATTTAAAAAAATTTAAAATGTAAGGAACAAATCAAGAAAAAGAACAAGGAAAAAAAAAGAGAAAGAATGTAATAAATTATATATGCAGTGTGTGCAGTTCACTCAAGCCCCACATCAAAAAACAAAAATATATTTTTTTTAAATTACTTTAAATGCTTGATAACATGATACATTTTTTTAAGAATATAAGATTAACATTTTCATAAATGATGAATAATATTTAAAATTTCAGAACAATATCAATAAAAATGTAAAGAAATAAGCATTTTTCAAAAAAAAAACACATTGAAGCTAAATAAAAAATCAAGTTTAAAACAAATATATACATAAATTAGGAAGAGCCAAGATTAAAATATGCCCTTGTATTTAAAAAAAAAACTTTCAAATGAATTTAAAAAATCAACAAAATGTAGGATGAAAAAGGAGAGAATGTAATGAGTTTGTGTGAATGGTAGTTTCATCAAAATTATACATGAAAAAATTATTTTAAAAAATTAAAAGACAACCTTAATTTAAAAATTGAGAACATATTTAAGCTAAATAAAAAAATTAAGTTTAAACAAAAAATATAGATAAATAATAAGAAGTGAAAAGATAAAAAGATGCGCTTATATTTAAAAAAATTTTAAAATGTAAAAAAAGTAAACCAAAAAAAAACGTGTAAAGGAAGAGATAGAATACAATGAGTTAGATATGGTATGCATGCGTGGTGTGCTTACATTCAAAATATTTTTAAAAAAGAAAATAAAAGACGATTTTTATTTAAAGCTTGAGAAAGATCTAGGAAATGCAGCACTTTTCGAAGATATATTTAATACAAATAAAAAAAGTTCAAACATAATATATATATATATACACACACACACATATATATTAGGAGGTGCAAAGATTAATATGATGTGCTTATATTAAAAATGCTTTAAAATGTAAGAAAAAAATTAATAAAAACACAAAAAATGAAAAAGAATGCAATAAGTTACACACACACACTAATTAATGTGTGCATGATTATTTCCTCAAGTCTCACATCAAAATGTATTTTTCAAAAGAAAATATAGTAAATGTTTAGAAATATAATACTTTTTTAATGAATATATTTTTAACATTAACATTATTCATAAAGGATGACTTTGTTTAAAAATTGAGATAGATATGAAGAAAAATATAAAACATAAAAAACTTTTGAAAACATAACAGAATGTTGGATAGAAAATGTATGCGAATGTCAATGGGACAGAATGGAATCCTACAGAGATGGTAAGGGGCTAAGAACTACATTAGTTAAACAGAGGATGCGGTATGAAATCAAAATACAGAGTATTTCAGACATTATTTGCAGAAAAATTAATTTGAAACAAACATGCAATGCCAGTAGCAATTAAAAATGCATAATTTAATCCTATTGGAAAATAAAAGCACCGTTTCCTTGCTAAAAAGAAGAAGAAGAAGAAGAAAATGAAGCAAAGTACCATGGATAGAAGGGAATAAATAAGCCTCTAACCTCGGGGTAGGAGTCTTGACCCACAACAGTCTACGAGACTGGAGAAGCCACGCAATGGTTCGCCTCGATCTGCCTCGCCATCGCCATCTTTTGATGGCGTTTTGTTGATTTCACCAATTCATAACCTGGTTCCGAAATCAAACCAGAAACATAACTAAAATGTCTAGATTCAGAAAAATGGTATGAGAAAAAACTAATAATAATAAGCGTATACCTTCAATCTCCTCTCCAATCTTGATCGATCGTCATCTTTCATCCGTGGGAAGGATAATGGAAGCAAGAAATGATAAGGGATTTTTCTTTCCCAGCCGTTGCCTTTGTCAGAGAGATTCCTTATTTTCTTTTAATAAGAGAATTATGACTTCAACGTCACTCAAGGGATAGAAAGGGGCGATGAGCTCATTGGAGGAGAAGCCGTCCTGATGAAATAGAAAGCCCTATCAGGCGCGAGGGCTATTATTAAAATGAAAGCATGGCGAAGGGATGAATACGAGCTGTCCGAAGAGCTACTGAAGAAAGAAAAACAAGAGGCGAAGGCAACAGATGAACCAGTCGATAGAAGAAAATGAACCCTCGAGTTTGGATCAAGAAAATGGAAACTCGAGAGAAAAAAAAGACTCAGAGTCGGCACTAAAATGGAAGATGGGTATGAGATACGCTTTTAATAAATTTTTAATTAATTCTTTTTTAAAAAATATGGATGCAATTATGAGTTTTGGATTTTCAGTTTTTCTCATCATACCATGGGATTTCGTATTTTAATCACGATGGACGATTGAGTTAATTGTGGGGTTTGAATCCCATAATTATAGCCAAAAAAACATTTATATTATGATTTGATTATTATTTTTAAAGTAAAAATCGTTAAAAGGAATTAAATTAAAATATTGATTATTAAATACTTTTTAATTATGTTTATGCAATATTTGTTAGCATGTTGTGTTTACTTTTTTATAATTTATTTAACACTATTTTTTATACAGGTGTTATAATGTATATACACATGTATAATATTTTTTATTTCACTGTTAAATTAGCAGTTCAACAGAATGGATTATAAAAGGCTTAACTTTAACTAGAGAGAGAGAAAGACAGTTGAAGGTGAGTGACGAACTGACGATTTAATTCAATGAGAAACAAAGTCAATCTTTTTTAACGTTGATCCACTTTCACACTCCCAATATTAATCAAATATAACCGTTGAGGCGATTCTGTCATAATGAATGAAAAGTTTGTTAGGATATGTTTGATGACTGAAAATATTTTGTTGTTCATGAATAATATTTACGCATGATGACACTCAATAAATTTTAAAATGTAAAGTAAGTTCTTTATATCTTTATTTAGTATATTTTTATATAAAACAATTTGTTTTCAATTTTACAATTAAAAAAACAAGTTACAAGTTTAACTATATAATATCACAAATTTAGAAGACAAATTTATAAATTCATGAAAGTATTCAAATAATGATACGTTATTTTTTAAATTTAAGTATTGAGATTTACGTTCCCTTTTAAAATTGGAAAAGTGAGCCAAAAATTCAAGACAATGAAATTACAAATTTATCTCCCAACTTTTGTATTTAATAGTTTGCAAATTCGTCCAGTTGTCTCAAATTTGCAACTGGCTTTATCTATTGTAAAAGGAAACACAAATCTAAATGTGATGCGTATGAGTTTTCTCTAAGCTATGGATTGGATCGGTTACTAGAAAAGGTATACATGGATAGTTGCAGCCGAAAAAACCGAGAATAAAAAAAAATTAATTATATGTAATCTTTATATATATAAAGGGAAAATAATATTACGGAAAAAAAAAAGGAAATCTAGTTTAAAGGATCAAAATAACCTAAGAAATCATTCAATTTATAATTTTCTTTGAACTTTCTCTGGAAGAAAAAATTTCCCTGGTTAAGATGTAAAACTAATATTCATTTTGGGGTAAATATAAGATAGTTTTTTTAAAAGAAAAAAAAAACATATTATCTAGGCCTAGATCAAATGGATCAACCCTACTTAATCCATTCAGCCAAAAAAAAAAAAAAAGCCAAGCAAAAAGATGGAAAAATCTAAACTTTTGAACACTGCTCACCCAAAAATATGGAAACAAAATGAAATTGAAAAGTGAAAAAAGAATCCATCAAGATCTTTAAGTTGCATTCAATATCTACCTCTCTCGCTTGTTTAACTATCTGTTCTCTCTCCATACTGCTAAAGCAGCATGAGCTCATACTCCTAACCTCTTACTTGTAATCTTTGATGGGCATGATATGACTCGTTCAACCTCCATATCCATGTAGCTGTCAATTTTGGACAATATCATTATGGAAGTTATAAGTTAAACCAGCCAACTCTCAGTACATAGAAGTTAATAGTTGAGGACAGAACTCCAGAACATGGAGAGATGGAAAAGAATCCACAACTAGCTTTCTTGAAAACAATCACACCAGAGTTTGAGACTCTGCTTAATCTTTCCATTGTAGAGATGTTGTCGTGGCATACCACTTATGAAATATACCTTGGAAAAAGGACAATCTTGACTGAACTTGTGATGCCAAGCCCTTAGAGGCTTTTGAGAAGTTTCGAAATAGATTGGCAGAGATTGAGGAGACATTGATGAGGAGAAACAACGATGAGACTTTGAAAAATAGGGCTGGGCCGGTGATGATGCCTTACATGCAGTCTGCTCTATCCTAGCAATGACACAGGACTACCAGGCAGAGGAATACCAAACAGTACTCTATATGAAGTTGTTGACTGGGACTCCTTTAACTATGTATGAGACTTGGAATGTCAAGTGTTGAGATTGTTGTTTGTTCGTTTGAATAATGTTCTTGTTTGCCAAAAATAAAAGGGGTCCTCTGTGTATTTGGCCCTTTAGACTTCTAACTTATTTACTTGTTGATCAGAAGAAAGGAAAAATGAGAGTCTAGTGACTTAATTGATGCAGAGAAATTCTCATTAGAGGCTTATATGATCAAAAGTCAATTTTACCTACAATACAATAAAAGTCCTCACTGTAGCACTATCTTCACCATTTTCTTGTATCATCACAGTATATTTTGGTCGTCCTCCTCTTCATAAAATAATGGTGAATAGATAGTGAAAGACAACCGAAGCACCTACTGTATAAAGCTAGATATATTTTCTCATTCACTACAAAATTTAAAAATCAGTTGCATTAATCAGGACATAAATGAAGCTAGCATATAAAAAACCAGAAGCTGAACTAATTGATATTGGAATTGAAATATTTGGTTCACAAGTCCAACGACCTGATTGTCTTATTCATCATGAGAAAAACAATAACTACTGGAGCCTAGCATAAAGGACTCCTCTTATTTTTTTTGCAAACAAGAACGTGATAATAATTTAACAATAGCTCCAACAATTCTCACAGAAATTGAAAATCCCACAAGCAAATTTCTCATATCATATGGAGATACTGTTGGGAATTCCCTTGCCTGTCATCCCCGGTTCACTGGAAGGATAAAGAAGAGTGTATGGCACGTTCACCGGCCCAACCCGGTTCAACAATTCAGGATCTTTGTTTCTCTTTTCAATTGTTTCCTCTATCTCTTTCAGCTTCTTTCCAAATGCATTAAAAGACTCCAAGGCCATTTCGTCAGATGTCCAAGTAGGATTACTCGTCGTTCCCAAATAGACTTCATCACTAGTATGCCCAGACAAAATCTCTATGATTGAGAGATCAAGAAGAGTCTCAAACTTTGGTGTGATTGTTTTCAAGAAACTCTGTTCTGGGTTCTTCTTAAGCTCTTCATATTCTGCAGTTCCCTTTTCAGGTATCAATCTTCTGCTAAGAGTTGGTCGATTTAGGATATAACCTCCATAAGGAAATTGTCCAAAGTTCACAGCTGCATGAAGAGCTGAAGCTATCCATATGATAATGGTGCAAGATTCAATAAGCTCTTCACGTGTCTCCATCTTAGGCCACCATGGCTTATCCTTTAAGTCAGCATGACCCACTTGGACTACCTCTTTCCACCAAGCTTGAAGCTCAGTGTCATGCTTTATAGCATGATCTGTATTATAATATAAGAAGACATAGTCACAAACCCATTTGTTAATAGCATCCCATATGTCTAGTCCATCAGCAGCATAAGGGTAGTCCTTTATCACCAGGCAAAGCCCATGAGGTGAATCTTTATCCTCAGTTGCCATTCCTCTGAATAATATATATATATATAAATGAATGTTAGAACAAGTCATCCATGTCATTATCCTTATTTGTCAATATATTTAAATTTACCTCTTGATGAGATCAGCAGGCAATGCTTGCTCAAGAAAGTTCCAATTCTCGTAGACCACGGAGGACATCTCCATGGAATATTTTGCGGGCAAGAATGCGGTCTCTATGGTTCCATCAGCAGAGATTAAGTTTTGGCGAGCAAGTGCATTGATAAACAAGGTGTCATGGAAATGAGGGTGAACAAGTTTGTGAATTGGGTGAAGTGCACTGAGACATCGATGTGTAGCTATAACAAATGGCTCCATCACAGCATGAGTATTTAGCCTGTGAAACCCAAGGAGCAAAACAAAGCAACAAATAATTAGAGATATTAATCACAATGGATAATGGTTTCAAAATCTGCATACTTAATGCCTAGTGTAAAAGAAAAAATAGTATTTACCAGTGACTAACAAGTTGATGATAGCCTGAGTCATTTACAACAACATAAGCTTTAGCCAATTGCCAAAGGGCGGCCTCAACACCTTCGGATTCAGGCAAGTACACTTTACTCACAGCACCAAATTGATCTCCATCAGGGTGAGGCAAACTCAGCTCAATAGCCAGTGGCTTCAAAGTGCCATCGTTTTGGAGGAAAAGGACTGTCCTGCTTGCATAAGCCTTTCTGGTGGAACTCTCATTTATCTTCCTCAGATATGGCATGAATGCATCATAGTGATCCAATATGAAAAATCTCTTGCAATTAAGTGCCTGCGTGCAACATATACATGTATGGTCTTTGTTTACAAGTGATATTAAACATACAAGTGCTATGCAGTGCGTGCGTGCGAGAATTTTATATAATATTTTGACGTAGAAGACAAAAATTGCTTTCTTCACCTCTTCTATTGTGCATCCTTGCATATTTTTCTCCAGGTGTTCACGTGTTATCATACTGGAATGATCACCATAAATGTTACGATCTAGTGTGCATTCTATGGGGAACACCTGCAATTAATTTAAGAAAATTATGAGGTTAGTAATTAAAATCACACAAATTGATGCTAGCATCTTTCAAATGATCCAGTTATAAATAATCAAAGACAGCAAAAGAAGACTTCAAGATGAAAGGTAAATATATAGGGAGAATGATAGAGAGGTCCAAAAGCACTAGATTAATTCAACATAGGCCTCAAATGCCAAACTCCGAGAATTTACAAGTTCAATTCTTAATTTTACAATTTCATTATGATTAATTTATAATTTTTTTTAAATTTTAACATGATTGAAAAATAAATAAATTTATTTTTCCTATCAAAATTTAGAACATAAGTTACAAATTAATCATAACAAAGTTACAAAATTAAAAATTGAATTTGTAAATTCTTAAAATTTGACACTTAAAACCTAAATTTAGTTAATTAGTGCTTTTGAGACTTTTTTGTCATTCTCTCAAATATATATTTGTTAATTTAACTTTGATCACTTTTCCTTACCTCGAGAAGGCGGATTAAACCTGGATTCACACCCGCAAGCATTTCTCGTGTAAATTCTTCATCAGTCATCCACCCATCTAAATTATCTGCTCCACATAATAGACTTAATAATGGTTAGAAAAATTTAAAAGAAATGTTTTCTCACTAGCTATGTTAAAAAAATTTTAGAGGATATATATGTGGGTATTACGATACACGTGTTTTGTCTTTTTTTTTCTTTGGGTCAACGATTCATATGTTCTTACCAAGCCTCATGTTTATATATATAATTGATAATGGCAAACTCACCGGCATCATTTAATATACCAGTTGTACAGTATAGCAGACACTTGTCTAATTCTATTAAAACTCATTATAAAATAAGTGGGATGTTTCGTATATATTTTTCTTCAAACAACACCGGAATCCGTGACTGGATCTTAAAATTGATGTAAAAAATTATACTGGTAAAACTTGGATTGAAAAAACTGTGTGTGTGTGCCTGTGTGTGTCTCCTAATGAAGAAATCGACAAAAATAATTAATGATAAAATTAATATTCCAATATAATAAGAGGTTGGTTCATATAATTTATTCAATATTAAGGGAAAATATTACTTTTGATCCCTGATGAACTTGTTCTAAATTATACCTTGAATGACAGTAGGAATTGGAAATTTTAATAAGAGGTTGCCATCAGCTGGTGGCTCTGGAATTGGGAGTCTTTGAGCAATAGTGTCAAGCAACAGTTTGGGCACATTAAATGTGAAGCCATTTTCATAGAGCACTTCAAAAACACTCTTAAAGCTCCCAAACTCTTTCTCCTTAGATTCCAATTCCTTTAAGAGATATGACTTCACAAGGTTCATTGAAGATTTGGGAAAATATTGCACAAACTCAAACAGCTTCTGGTTTCCAAATCGATCATCTCTTGGAACATAGATCGTAAATGCTTGATCGTCACCAAGTCTGCTCTCACTGTTAGGATCTGCCCAATAAACATGTTGGTAATTAATTAACACAAGCAAATGATAATTAATGAATCACACATATAACTGAAATTAATATTCAGGTATAAATTCTAATTTCTAAATTTTCTCTCAATTATCCATTTAGTTTTGAACTGAATTTAACTTAAAACAACTTAATTTTTACAGGACTGAGTTGTAATGTGAGTAAAAAAAATGAGTTGTTTTGAATCAAAAAAATTATAAGAATTATATATTGAATTGTTTTGAATCAAAATTCAGGAACTGAATTGATAATTGAAACCAAGTTCAGAGACAAAAGTCATATTTTCCCTTATATTTAATAAATTATATGGATAAAGTCTTCTCAATTACCTTTATTTGATGGGGGCCTTCCAGTTCTAACCCTACGAGGGTAGGGATATTGAGTGGATCCTCCAAGAACTGGACGAGCAAGATCCTCACTTTTATCAATATTACCCAAATCATTGTACGTAGCATAATCATATATTCTATCCCATTCCTTTCTTTCTCCAGTTCCGTCTCCTCTTATTGCTTCCAGCTCCTGTTTTCTATAAGGGAGCAATCCCTCTGGTGTCTCACTTGGCAGAAATGGCTATACAAACATAATATATACAATTCTATGAATTATTTTTTTCCCATCCTTATATGTAGCATGCTATTGCTAACTAATTTATTTGTATAGTCATGTGTGTGTGTGATATTCAGTACCACTACGTCAAATTCAAGTATTGCCGAATCAAATTGGATGTAACTCTTCCAATCCGACGATTTGAACTCTTGTCCTTATTACATATGATAAGCTAATTAAATAAATAAATTATAGTTAATTGTGGAATTAATAGTTGATTACCTTGTTGACGAAGAAAATGCGAGGGCTTTTATATTTGGTATCAGGGTAAACCCAAGATCTGCAAACAAAGTCTATTGGAGCAGAATGATTTGGGATTTCAATGGTGAAACTCACAAGGAAGAACTGATCAGTGGGGTGAAGGTTCCTCATAATAAAGGCTCCTGGAATTCCCATCTCGTGTCTCCAATTGAAATAAACAATATAAGTTGAAGCTCCATCTTCTTGTTTAATACCTTCAGAAGATGCAGAATTTTCTACTTTCAACATTCCACTCTCTGCAACCAAAATAAATAAATGAATGAATATTTGGTGCATCAATATTCTCGTTAATTAGTTAGGGGGTAAATATAAAATATTATTTTTTCCAGAGAAAAATATAAAATATAAAATAGTTTTAAACCTAGATGTTTTAAGGTTTTTTTTTTAATTGGTTCTTAATTTGTCCAGCACATCATTTTTTAAGGGAATGGTTGGGTCATGTGCGCATTTCAATAATTATGAATACCTCATCGCTTACCTCTTTTTTTGAAATAAAATAAAAGTTACTCGTAATAACATATACCCTTCTGAGAGTCATACATATGCAGTTTTTTCTTTCTTTTTATTTCTCGTGACAGAAAAAATTAAGAAAAAGGAATGAGAAAAAAACAAAGGAAAACTACACAGTTGAACATGACTTTATAAGATCTCTATTTTATCGTTAGTGACTTTTGGCTAAAAAAAACACAAGAAAAGAAAAAGGAGGAGATGCACGTAAGCAATTTGAAGATGAGACAAGCCATCTCCCAATTCTAAATTTCGTGTTTGCAAATAAAATATTGTAATTTCACCAGAAAAAAAAAATATCATAGCAGCTCAAAGTTCCAACATTAATCAACCAAGGCTACGTGTATCTATAAAAATTCTAACAATTGCGTTGTTACGATTGCATAAAAAATTAAAAAGACACCAGAAAAATATAAGATGGGTAATACTGCAATTAACGTATTTCACTCTAAGGAGCCGTTTAGTTCTTAGAAATGATGAGAATAAAATACATTAAAGAAATAAGAACGACATGAATTAAAGTATCCTTCTTGTCCTAACAAGCATAATAAAACAGAATATCACATATTTAAATGTGAAAATTACTATACCCTCCACAAACGCCAAACTAATAGATCATAACTCTCAATTTCATGAATTAAAATATCCTTCCTCTCTCATGAACATGCATGTTGGACTTATCTCCCCTCCACATTTTAGTCATTCTATTTTTATCTCTATATTCCATTATTGCAATCAAATTGGCTGTGATTAAAGGGTTTATTTTAGGGAGAATTACACACAAATCTCACTCAAGATAATTAAGTATTCTCAAATCTATTAACAACTGAGCTTAAATAACAACACATCATGGTATCATTCTTGTAAGCTCAGTTGTTAATAAACTAGCGAATAATTAATTGTCTCAACTGGACCTTAAAGTAATTATCCCTTTATTTTATTACTGGTGACTATTCATTTTAAAAAAAAACAAAGAACAAAGACCAGGTGAAGATAGCGCAAATGTGATAGTTCATTTCCCATTTTTATATTTTGTGCTTGCAAATAAAATATTATTACTCCAAAGAATTCCAACAGTAATTACGTAGGTAACACAAACACACACATGTATACAAACAAAAAAGTTGTATTGGTCAGAATCCACGAATAATGTGACTTATATTGCAAATATAAGTCACATCTATAGTTTATAGAGTTTACAAGGGTACATGATGGCAATTTTGCCTTAGATTGTGATCTAAAATGTGTCAATGAAAGAAGTTGCAATTTGCTTTGAGAATGTACACACACACACACTAAATATATATTGCAAATAAAAAAGCTTTGAAAGTTGTCATATATATATATATATATATATAAAAGAAGGAACCCGAACTTTTAGAGGGGGTGTGTGTGTGTGTAGCAAAATGTAATTTATATGAAAAAGGTATATGAGAGAAAGAACGAACCAGAAAGTATTGGGTTGGAACCACTACTGATCAACTCAATAGTGAAGGACTGAGAATCTGCAGTGACGTTAAGGTTGATGATGACCAAGGTCCCTTTGATCGTGAAGTACTTTTCTTCACCCGCCATATATATATATAGAGAGAGAGAGAGAGAGAGAGAGAGAGAGAGTGGAAACTATATATACACTATATATATAGGCCTCACAGAATAAAGCTTTTTTACGGGGAAGAAGAGGAAAGCATGGAGGGTATTTATACAGACGAAGCTCGATATGGATATGGGGTTTTCAATGACTCTCACTTGCCTCACTTGCAAAATGAAAGTTTAATATTTATAATTTTTAAAAAATATAAAGTAAACTTGCCCTTATCTTGAGCATTCTTGTCTGATTTGAAAATAATATAATTAATTATTTTTGTCTTCTTGTGACTTGACATTATCCTCGTCATTCTAATGTAGTATTTAAAAATTAAATTACTTTAAAATCAATATATCAACATTTTGATATGTCAATATCTCATCATTATATATGTTAAAATGTCCCAGAAACGTGAGTGAATTTAAATCGGTATGAAAAATTTCACATCAAATAAAATTATATATACTAGCAATTAATAATAAAGTAAAAAGATTGATAAATTCAATCTTGAAGTTTTGAATAAAAGTATAATAAGCAATTTTAAATCTTCAAAAAGATTGCTCCTTTTGTATTCAAATTAGAGAATTGGGTTTCAATCTTTTCAGTTTTGTTTCTTTTCTTCTTTTCTTTTGTCACTTCATTAGCTTGAAGTTTTGCAACTAATTGATGGGTTATTTTGTTAAAACAAATCATGTCTAGCTGAAATTCATAGGACATTATTATGAGATTAATTAATTGAATTAGATATCTTAGTTGGTGCTAGAGAGAGCTCTTAAACTTATACGTAAAATTGGTCCTAGCCTAGCACAAATTGATTATATATTATTGTGTTTAAGAAATGAAAATGGCCTTCGTTTTGATTTGTTCAAATTAATTAGTCAAATATGAAATGTCCAACGTTTGATTGCTTTTCATACGAATCTTTATTAGACAATTCTTCTCTATCATTTTATTGTTTATCACAACTTGTGCAATTGCGGTGTACATCTGATGGCGAACATTTAATTTATATATATATATATATATATAATAAAAGCTTGCCAATTAAATTGAAGGAGACAAATACAATTTATTTCTCAACCTATGATGCAATTAAATCGTAATACATTAATGTGAAACACAAGAAAATATTTTATATGCCTGTAAAACTATTACTATTGCTTCTCTCGTTGATTAGTAAATATACAATTAAATATCGATAATAGTACAGTAAATGCTTCTTGTTGATGTTAAATTAATAAGGATGATGAACATCTATCGTGTCAAAATAAACTTATGATCAAGAGAATTTTAATTGTGATACATACTATAAACACCTTATTATTATTTTTTTATGGTAATTCAACACATTAATTAAAACTGATAACTATTCAAGCAAATTTAAACAACGTATGAAGCTATGATTGGGCGATAAATTCTGGCTAAGAAAACAATGACTAAGAAATATTCTATCTATCCGAATTTGATATGACATAATATACATACATACATGTGTATATATAGATAATTACACATGTTATGAAATTTATTAATTACACTTTATAATTTTAATAATTTTTTAAATTTTTAAAAATATCCTTTAAGGGAGAGGGAAGGAAAATTATTTAAAAGTTGAAATGATGATGAGTAATATTGGAATAATCATCATTAATAAAACTTTATAAACTGAATTTATTATTATCAAAATGAATTAAATAATAAAATATCAAATTAATTACTTCAAAAATATTTATAAACTGAGATGAGAGGGAAAGAATAGTATGTACCTCTCATTCTTGTGGAGGATATATATGGGCCACGTGGCAAAACGTAATGCTACTTTTTGGTTAAAATCAACGTAATCGTGATAAACTCATACAACACTAATATTAGTCCTCGAGGCTGCTGACACCTGACGTTGACTTGTCAACACAAACGTGCCAGCGGGTCCAAAACAATGAGCTTAAAGTTTGAGCACTGAGTCAAAACCATGACCCCCGAGCGGGTTGGTCAATCGACTCATCCGCATTTAAAAATTACGTAATAATAGTAATAGTAATATTATTATTATTTTTAAGATAGAAAAAGAAAGGGTTTTAGGATAAGAACAACGGAGAATGATAGATAGGTCTTAAAAGAATTAATTAATTTAAGTTAAGTTTTTAAATTTAAATTTTAAAAATTTTGCAACTCAATTTTTTTTTTATAATTTTATTGTGATGAATTTGTAACTTATTTTAAAATTTAAAAAAATAAGTTACAAATTCATTGCAAAGCAATTACAAAATTGAGAAATTAAATTATAAATTTTTAAAATTTGACATTCAGGATCTAATTTGAATTAATTAATCTTTTTGAGATCTCCTTATCATTCTCTCTAAGAACAATAATAGTTAAAATTCTAAAATAAAATTAATTGATGACAACTAATTTACTCTGAATATAAGAAAAAATTACTATGTTTCTCTTTGGTTTTATTTAGGAGGAGGGAAGCCCTCCACTGCAGCTGGAGATAAATTTGGACCATTCGGTTTTGATGGTCCAAATTTAATATTTTTTATTTTATTTTTATAAATAAAAAATTATATAAACTATAAAAAATTTTAATAAATCTCTTCATTAGTTTAGACAATCTAAATTTAATATATATGATCTAGATATAATATTAAAAACAATTTAATATAAAAGCTATATTGTCTAGAATATATTTAGATAGTTAATTTATAAAAATTAAACATTTTTAATATTAAAGTTGCACTATCTAAAATATATTTAAATAATTAATTTATAAAAATTATAAAATTTTAATATTATATCTGGATTATATATATTAAATTTGAATTTTTTAAACTTATAAAAAAATTTATTAAATTTTTTATAGTTTATATAATTTTTTATTTTATTAAAAAAGATTAAATTTGGACCATTAAATAAATCTGGATTGTCTCGATTTACCTCCAGTGTAGTGGAGGGCTTCCCTCCTCTCCTTTTATTTATAAGCAAAAACATAAATTTTAAGAAGCATTTTGTTTCATTGATTGCAGAGATAATTTAATCTAATTTTTTTATTTTAAAATATAATTATTATATTTAATTAAATTTTTAAAATTGTGTAAGTTAATTATTTTCTTTTATATTTAGAAATGAAAGGAGTAATTAGTCTTCAAAAATAATTATCAATTGCCTTGAACTTCCCAACGACATAGTTAAGAGTTTTAACATTTTAAATGCTGTCTTTATAGTAGAGTATAAACATCTCTATTTATTTAAATTTGGGTTCCTACACTTTATTTAAATTTTGTTATAAATTTTTATACATTTTTCAATATCTTAAATATTTTAAGTCCCTATAACACCGTTCATAAAGGAATCTAGAACACTAAAAAATAAAAATATAAAGACCTAAAATATTAAAAAAAAAGTATAGAGACCTATAACAAAACTCAAGCAAAATGCAGAAATTTAAAGTTATATTTTTTCTAATAATAATAATAATAATACAAGCTAAATTGCACCTGGGTTTTAATTTATTTATTTTTTTGTTGGTAGTGCGCTCCGAATTGGTATATATTTTTATTTGTTATTTTCAATTTTATATTAATTACTCTGAAAAGGAGACATTTTTATTTAAAATTTTGAACATTTTCTTTTGTTGAATGCCTCAAAGCATATCATTATTGTTCATAACTTTTCTTGTGAATATATTTTGGGCATATTTGCATTTCTGCCTCAAAGCATATTTGCATATATGTATTTTGTCCAGTAGGTTTTTCAGATTGCTTTGTTATTAAATGATCGCACATCAAGTCCAGGATCGAAACGCTCAACGGTGATATTTATACATTACTTACTTCATCTCTTTCCAAATTAAATTCCAAAGTCAGAACTATGTAATTTAATTCTACTACCACATATTTAGGTTTTAATAAAGAAATAAAGAATTATTTTGCAGTATTATCTCAGTTCAAATATAAAACAAAGCTAAATTCAAAATAATAATAATAATAAACAAAGCTTGTTATTATTAATTCTATTACAGCATTTGGAAATGCACTTGCCGATTACAAACGGCACGGTTTATTGGGAAACAAGTAGAACATTTTGAAACAGAAATAAGTATTACAATCAAACACACAATCATTCTCATATGAAACATCTTCAAATGGAGATACTGTTTGGAATGCCCCTACTTGTTAGCCCTTCCTCACTTGTAGGATAAAGCAAAGTGTAAGGTACATTAACCACACCAACCCTGTTCCTCAGTTTCTCATCTTTGTTCTTCGCAATAAGCTTTTCTTCAATCTCAGAAAGCTTCTTCCCAAACTTCTTAAAAGCTTCCAATGGCTTCACATCAGATGTCCAGTCAGGACTGTCTCTCGTCCCCAGATAAACCTCATCAGAAGTGTGCCTTGACAATATCTCAATCACCGAAAGGTCAATGAGGGTCTGAATCTTTGGTGTTATTGTCTTCAAGAAAGCTTTTTCTGGGTTGTTCTTCAGCTCTTCAAATTCTTCACTTCCTTCTTCAGGAATCAATCTTCTACTCAGTGTTGGACGGTTCAGAATATAACCTCCATAAGGATATTGTCCAAAATTCACAGCTGCATGGAGAGCTGAAGCAGTCCATATGACAATAGTGCAAGATTCAACAAGTTCCTTGCGTGTCTGCATCTTAGGCCACCAGGGCTTGTCTTTCAAATCTCCATGACCCACTTCCACAAGTTCTTTCCACCAAGCTTGTAGTTCGGAGTCTTGTTTAACAGTTTCATCAGTCTCATAGTAGCAAGAAACATAATCTTGGACCCATGTCTTGATAGCATCCCATATCTCTAATCCATCCACAGCAAAAGGGTAGTCCTCCACTGCCAGACGAAGCCCATGAGGGCAACTTGGATCTTCAACTGCCATTCCTCTGAATTCAAGAAAATGAAGTGTCATCAACATGCTAATAATATATTTTATGTTATTAATTAGGAGTCTAAATGTAATGTGGCACATCAGATTAAATTAGGCTTAATAGCTAGTATTAACATGGTAGAAGGACTCATAAATTTGAGCTTCAAGATTTTGAGTTTAAATGTGGTGTCTTTGTATTGTTCTTGCTCATTTGCTTT